GGGTTACAAGGGGTTACAGGGGGTTACAGGGGGAAAACAAGGGGTTACAGGGGGAGAAAAAGGATTATAGAAACTTTTTTCTACCTAGACCGTTCCCAGATACTTTTTCTTGGTCTATTTTGCATAAAAATCAAAGTTGAAGAAATCTCACATTTTTGACCAAAACGATGGGTTCACCCCTTTGGAAAAATTCTAATTTTTCGTCTTTCCCACACAGTTGTTTTTATAGCATTTAAAGGCTTCTTTTTTATCTAGAACGTCAGCAAACACTTTTTCTCGATCTATTTTTGATAAACACAAAAGATGAAAAAACTTTAACTTTTTGACCAAAATCATGGACTATCCCCTTTGTAAAAATGCCAATTTTGCCTTCTTTTTAAATCCATGTTTATATTCTCTAAAAAGGCTTGTTTTCTAACGAGAACGTCACCAAATACTTTTTCTGGGTGTATTTTGCATAAAACGAAACCTTCACAAAATTTAAAAGTTTTGACCAAAACCATGGACTAACTACTTTGCAAAAATGCCAATTTTGTGGGTTTTTGAAACCGATCTTTTTGTTGTTCAGAAAGACTTGTTTGCTATATAAAACGTCGAAAATCGTTTTTTTCACGATCTATTTTGACGATTTATGACATGGGAATACCGGGGGTTACAATGGGTTACAGTGGGTTACAAGGGGTTAGAAGGGGTTACAAAGGGTTACAAGGGGTTACAAGGGGTGACAGGGGGTGACAGGGGGTGACAAGGGGTTACAGGGGGTTACAAAGGATTGTAGAAACTTTTTTCTAACTAGAACGTTCCCAGATACTTTTTCTTGGTCTACTTTGCATAAAAATCAAAGTTGAGGGAAATCTCAAATTTTTGACCAAAACGATGGACTAACCCTTTTGGAACGCTAATCCATATTCACGATTTATTTTCACGATTTATGACATGGGAATACAGAGGGTTACAAGGGGTTACAGGGGGTTACAAGGGGTTGCAAGGGGTTACAGGGGGTTACAGAGGAATATAGAAACTTTTTTCTAACTAGAACGTTCGCAGATACTTTTTCTTGGTCTTTTTTGCATAAAAATCAAAGTTGAAGAAATCTCAAATTTTTGACAAAAACGATGGACTAACACCTTTGGAAAAATTATAATTTTACGTTTTTTGTACACAGTTGTTTTAATAGTCTTTAAAGGCTTCTTTTTTATCTGGAACGTCAGCAAACACTTTTTCTCGATCTATTTTTGATAAACACAAAAGATGAAAAATCCTCAACTTTTTGACCAAAATCATGGACTATCCCCTTTGTAAAAAAACCAATTTTGCCTTCTTTTTAAATCCATGTTTTTATTCTCTAAAGAGGCTTGTTTTCTAACGAGAACGTCCCCAAATACTTTTTCTGGGTGTATTTTGCATAAAACGAAACGTTCACAAAATTTCAAATTTTTGACCAAAACCATGGACTAACCCCTTTGCAAAAATGCCAATTTTATGGGTTTTTGAAACCGATGTTTTTGTTGTTCAGAAAGGCTTGTTTGCTATATAAAACGTCGAAAATTTTTTTTT